GGGGAGTCCAAGGCGGGAGAATAGGATCTTCTCAGGGTTAAAGGGGAAGATAGGTTAAGAAATGAAAGAGGGGAGAATTAGGGTTTTAAGGGTCGGAGAGCTAGCTTCATGCTTTGCGGGGAGAAAAAGGAGAGAATTGGGATTTTTTTTTTTCATAGGATTTTGAAAAGACTTCTGGCGATCATTGCTGAAAGGTCGATGTGTTGTACTGGTGAATTGGGATTTTAATGAAGTGGATGTGATTACTCTTGACTGTTTTGTGAAATTGAAGTTACGTCTCTGATTAAAGAATTAAAAGGGTGTCTATAGGATTGAGCTTGCGGAGTGAATGAAAATTTTTGGATTAATCTAACAAGACAGTCAGTGGATACAAGGTCGTGAGTATAAAGCAGTATTGAAGATTAGCAGATTGGATTGTTCGGGGTTCTCTGTAACGTCTAGAGACCTACCGACTGGGACAAAAAGGATTTCGGCGAGCAGTCGAAGGACATCCGTATAGATTTATAGTATATTCTTGTAATTATTTATATTCCAACAGTCAAAAACTAATAGACTGCTTGAATATTAGCGAATCTCCATACTACCTTCTACAGCCAGACGCCCGGTGCATTCTCGAGCAAGAAAGCACATAATATGACATCGATGGCTTGAATCTTTCCATATTTTTGTAATAATTTTTGATGTTGCATACCACCTTGAGCTTTTGCCACATATTTGGGTCCATCTAATCTTGCATGTTTTGCAACCAAAGGAATTTCATATCAAGCCAAAGCACTTTCGGGATCAATACCAATCACCACCACTACTAGTTGTAATTAATGATCAACAAGAATACAAAGTGGACAACATTTTGGAGAATTACTACCTTCATCATAGCAGTAGACATCCAGAACTTTAGTACAAAGTTCTTTAGAAAGGTTATTCTATCGATGATGCAACATGGGAACCTATACAAAACCTCACCTATTGCAAAGAAGAAATTTGGAGATACCATTATAAGCAAAACAAGGATGTTTTTCATTAGTAAAAGGAGATTAATTGTAATGGGGTATAGATAAGATATTTGTATTATTGACATATAGGAATAGATAGTTAGAACCATGGAAGTTTTTAGAATTGAGGTTAGATTAGTAGATCAAGTAGGATCTATCGTCAAACATTTTGTAAAGAGTTTAAAGTAATTATTTAGGTGGCACCTATCATAGAACCTTCTAAAAAGACTTTAAGGTAGTTATTTAAGTGAAATCCATGATTTAAGAACATTCTAGAAAGTCCAGGGTTATAGAACAAAATATAAATAGGACCAACCAAGGCCTTTGGAGTATCTAGTCAAGTATGGCTTTAGACCCTTTCTCTTAATACAATTGGATTTTATATCTTCCTGTTTTGTTCTATTGTGTTCTAATTTTGGTTGCTTAGATTTATCTTCTATGTGTCATTCTATTTAATTCTATTCTGTTTTGTTCTAGTCCAATTTGTCCTACCTTGTTATGAAGTTTTATGTTGCTGTGGATTAGAAGGGTCTTGGATACTTGGAATAGACTCATCTTATTTCACTTACTAAGACTTTATTTTGATGAATTTATTTCTAATAATATTTTTATAATTCATAAATTCATTCAAATTTTAATAAATAATTAAATAAAAAATAAATTATATATATATATATAATTTAAATAAATTAAAATTATATTTTTAATAATTCTATAAATTAAGATACATTGATAGAATTCACACCAAAATTTTAAGGTATAAAAAGTTTTAGATTTAAAGTACTACAAAAATAAATTGAAATATCTTGTATATTATTGAGGAAATGATATTAATAAATGTTCAAAGGAGCTATCTAAGATTCTTACAAATGAGTCAAAATATATTTTTTTTATATTAATTATGTTTATCAAAATCTAAGATCAATCATTGATAATTTGATTTTTTAATTAAGAAAATATGAGTTTAAAAATCCACTTATAAAAATTATGTGAAATATATAGAATTAATAGCTAATAAATTCATATTAAAAATTTTAATATAAAAAATTATTAGATGAAGCTATTATATTATTTTAACTCAAGAAATATTAAAATTATGATAAAGATCTTCAAAAAAAGATAATAATAAATAAGATAAAAATTAAATAATAAATAATAAATAAATAAAAAATAAGATATAATTTCTTTAGTACCACAATCTTACAAGAGACTCTTAAGACTTATTAATATTATAAGAAGAAGATTATATATTAAAAAATATATGAAATATATTATTTAAAGATATTTATGAAGGTCTTAATAATTATTAAATTATAAGATGGTCTTTTATCTTATAAATGATATTATTAATAATTAAAAAGACTTATTGATAATTTTTGTATAGAATATAGATTAAAATTGATTGTCAATATTCTTTAACAGATCTCAAATTTCATTAATTTATGAAGTAATTTAATTATTTTTTGTAAAACTTATTGATTAGAAGAAAAAATAATATAATATATATCTATGTTATTAAAATAAATATAAATAAAAAAAATTCAAAAACTTATTAAAAAAAATTCAAAAACTGATTAAAAAAAATTGTATCTTTCTAAAGAAGCTTTAAAGATATTTTTTAGATATTACTTCGATGTATAAACTTTTCTAGTTATGCCATGTGGCTATTGAAACTTGTCTTATAATTTTCCTACTTTTACAAAATTATATTAAAAATAACCTACAACTTGACTCTTAAGCCATAAGCCTTATAATTTTTAAAAAGATTCTTTTAAATCTTCTTTTGTCACAAATATATACATTTATTCCAATAGTTACTTAAATGATTAAGTAGAAGCAGGTAAATATATATTAATTTTATAAAGTCTTCTAGAAAAGCTTTCTATAAGCTTCATAGACATAGTTTTGATTTTAAATATATTTGTAGGTTAAAAACTTTGCCATCAAGTTAACCACGTGTTAGGAGCTTGTAGAACAAGCTAAGTATGTGGTGCATATATACATAACTTGTCTTGCAAGTTAAGACATATGGCTAGCAAAGTCAACATATATTAGAAGTCATATAGAATATCGCCTTTTTGATCTTAGTTAAAAAGTATATATGGAGGCAAGAGTGAAGCCTTCTTCACTCTTGTTAATGCCTTTCTAGTCCTTAGTCTTATTTTAAGACTTTCTAGTTTTCTTGTTTTTGGTAATAGCCATTCTAGTTCAATAATATATCATCTTTGAGTGACTTTTTAATTTCTTTCAGTGATACAAGGGTGTATTAAGGATTTTCTTTCTTCAAGATTCATGTGCTTGACATCTTTATAGATAGTATATATTTGAAACAAAATTAAAGCCATCTTTAGTTTTTTTAACTTCTTTCTTATATTTTATTCTAAGTTTAAGATTCTTTAACCTCTTTGCAATTAACAATAGTCATTTCAATTTTTTTCTCTATTTTATAGTTATTTATTGTTTGTTTATTTTTTCTCTTCTTCAATTATATATAAATATATTATTTTTTAATTTTTATTTAAATTCATATATTATATATTAAATAATTAATTTATAAATATATCTATTTAATTTTATAATATACAATATTATAAAAAGAAAAAAAAAGACTTAATATTTAATAGCTTTAAAAATAAAATTTTATACTTTAAATATAAATAAATTTAATCTTTCATAAGTTTAAATTTTTTCTTTTGACTTGACTTTAATTTAAAGAAAGCTTGCTGATCTTAAATTATTATTGAATTGTAATATCTCTTGTCAAGTATTTATTTTCATGTTCTAATTTTAATTATTATTATTGTTATTTATTATTATTTTTATTTATTATTATTATTATTATTATTATTATTATTTTGCATTGAAATTAACAAGTTGTTAAAAAATTGTTTAAAAGAATTTCACACCACCTACTAGCTTGATCCAAAATCCATACAATTTAAGCTCAATATAAAGACTATAAGGACTTAACTTAAATTAAACAATAGAATAGACAAATTAGTAATTTGTAAAGTAGTCTATATTCACAATTTATTTAAATAGAATGCTAAAATAAACAACAACATTAACAATTGTCCTAATCTTGTGTACTTAGTACCACCAACCATTAACTTAGGTGGTTATTTATACTATTTTTATTACTAATAGCTAGTTGTCTTTCTATTAGCAACTACTCACTAGCTTGACCTAATCTACTATAATCCAAACTCTACGACGTTTGATTTTTATGACCTAATCTACTATAATCCAAACTCTACGACGTTTGATTTTTATGTGGGTCAAATATTTTCAACCTATCTTCTATTGCTTAAATCTTACAAGTCCAAATCTTCCTATTGGATTGGTTCTTCCAAACGCCCTTTGATCAACTAAACAACTTAACAAACACATTAAATTGAAGTTAAATATGCACTGGAGCCGTATTCCATTATTTCCATCTGGGTGCGATCTCGTTTCCTATACTACGTGTGAAGTTTCGATTGAAATTCTGCACCAAGTTCTCTAATAAATAATGTCGGACATCTAACTCTTGCCCCCGTTGTAATGTTATTCGAAGAAAGTTACATGTCTAGGAATTCTTCGACGTTCTTACCAACAGTAACTAACACACGGAAGAGCCGCACCAAGAAACGGGATGCACAGTCTCCTGTGTGCGCTTGCTGAGTTATGGTGGCCTGCATGGAACAGGGGGATAATCCTACTGAAGTGAATCGATCCCAAAGCCTAGCACCAAAACACAGAAACTGCGAATCCTCAGTTCCGTCTACAGATGAGCATCACGACAATGCTATGAAAGAGATTCTCTGAGCAGATGGAAGATTCTACACTTGCTAAGTGTGGTCGACATTTGACGAACTCTCTACCATTGTTATGACTGATCGACATGGGATAGACCAGCAGAAAGAGAGCGAGGACAATGTTTGTTGTTTTGTAAATTGTGGTTCATACGGGTGTAGAACGATGCATTTTGGAAGCAGACGGTTTCAGGTTCCACAAAACAAACATAAGTAGATGAACCAATAAATAAATAAACATAATCTTGCAATTGCAACAATACAACAACAACCGTCTTCCGCAAGTGTGTCAGAAGTTCACAAGATGACAACCCACAACATCATCTACCCATCGACTACACACACACAGCCGACGCTACTGGTCAGTTTCTTCACCAACGGACTTCCAGGATATGAAATGCTCATTAGCCACTTCTGAGAGTATAATGCTCAATGCTGTTCTAAATAACCAGTGACCGCATCATATTGACTATGCAAGATCTGCAAAAAGTTTCCTTGCTTCATTAAGATCGATGGTAAATGGCGTCACAACCTAAGTTCTTCATGGTCTAGTCCATGACACAAATCTCCACTTTACGTTGTGCTTCCCGGCCCCACTGGATGAGGCATAGCACTACTGGGTTCACTTTTGTCCTCCACAGGGACCTCTACGTCTGAAAAAACAATGAACTCATTAATGCATGTGACCTAAAAATGAACTGCAAGGACTTGTTACGGTTCTAGACATGGAAAAGAAAATATGCTTCAACAAAGCTGAAGCATTCATACCTGGTCTTTCGTCATGCTTGAGACTTGGGCGAAAAAACTTTGCCATCCAATTTCGAAGAAGTGTAATTAGATTTTGATCGCTCTGTAGGTTTCTTGGTTCTCCATCCCAATAAAGTGTTGCAGGGGCAGATGGATTTGTCTTTGGTGGCCCGTATATAATCTGAACACTCTTATATAAACTCAAGCTGTCAGACGTCAGTTTTATTGTACCCGTAGGTATGTGAAGCACCAAGTATTCACTATAGGTATCACGCGAATTTCCCGTCATAACAAAAGTTTGATTCTTCTTCAAAACTGCTTTCTTCAGCTCTACACCATACCTTGACTCCCTTAATTCGATTTCAAACTCGGTTTTGTTGATCACATCCATTTTCAACTTCATCTCTGAATTTCAGATCAACACGTTCCCTATGTACTGTTAAGTGACGTGGATTATTTTCGCTCTTGACACTAACGGATATTTGTTTACCGTAACGACAGATTAGGTGCACTATTGCATACAAGTGTGGTGGATATACAATGAAAGGTCACTCTCCGTCGGATTTCAGTCTAAGATATCAGTGTAGCATTTGATGCAATCATTATCTACAGAGTATTCGAACCTAATAAAGCTTCGAAAACAATACAGGTATGTGCTACCTGGCACACTTTATCGTAAAGGTACTTGTATCTGTCGAATTTTAGATTCAGAAAATGTGCTTGTCTCTTCGATGCCTTTGTCGAGCCGCTCGTGATGATTTAGTGCTTGCACAATATCCAATAATGGGAAAAGGGGAAAAATGCAGCAAACGCAAACAAAGCCGCAGAGCTAATGAAAACGCTGACGGTAGTTTTTTTACGCTTTCCTGGAGAGCGACAGTTTGACAGATTCGCAAATCTGAAGTTCTCGCAGTCCGATCGAAGTCGACTTTCTCGACTATCTAATTCCTACGAGAACACATATCCACGAAGCTGTTGTTAAAAACCGAGTTCGACCTACAGGTCCCTTGAGGCATGTTCAAGGCCTATAATATCAGTTTAACACAAACTTGGACTGGATTATCTTGGTCCCAACAAAACACAACGCAATGAGATTTCATCTCAAATGGACTTGTCACAACAACCAAGTCACGGTCGTAGGTCTGTCTAAACACATCGTGACGGACTGTGAGTTCAATAAAATACCTTTTTGTAGACATGGTCTTCCTCAAGTTTATCCTCCAGATATTGAATTTTCTGATGCTTTTGCCAAACACCAACGAAACTGACGACGGAAGCAAGTATTGATAGTACAATTGCGATAAAACACTTGCTGCAGGTGAAGAAGTGCTCATTCCCCTGAGCCACAGCCGTGAAGACCACACCTTGGAACACGCTGTAAAAGCCCACCAGATTGTAGATCTCGTTCTTCAATGATTCAACCTGCTTCGTCTTCCGCTCAATACTGGAGGCAACCACTATCGACTTCTTATCCCACTCTTCTAGAGCCTCTCTGTACACCGGAGGAGTCCGCTGATCTTTAATCCACAGCAACGCCTTGATCTTTTCGTAGTTGTTGCGCTCTTTCAACGGTGCGTCGTTCGATGTGGCTCTCTCTGCCTCTCTCTCCAACTGATCTACATCGACTTCGCTCAGCCGCGGATCTGCACCTACATCAATACGCAACCTATCGACTTCACTCTGCAACCGATCTACATCGACTTTTCTCTGCAACTCATATGTTTCGATTTTACTTTGCAACTCATCGACTTTTCTCTGCAACTGACCAACATCGATTCCAGTCGCCATGACCTAACCCTTAAACAGTGCACATTGCAAGACGGTGGGAACAATTCTCACCTCTGACCTTTTACACTGTCATGTATCCTACATCCCCAGGCCCTTCTAAAGACATTTCATCGAAATACAGTACAGTGTCCATCTACTTTTCTCTTTGAATATAGGATAACTAAGACGCTTGCAAGTAGATAATGAATTTTAAATGTAATGCAGTTTGAATGCAAGGGTGCTCCTTGTATGCAATTCCAGCGTGCAATAAAATTGAAATCTCGTTTCATGTTCTTTGGAAGTGAGGAAATCTGTATCCTATATTAGTTAATATAAGACAAGTAAAACAATGTTTTACATTGAAAGGCCCGTTCATCTGCTCGAGTTTGCAATAAGCTACGCCTTGTAAGAATTGAGAATTATTTGCACTAGGCGGATGCTAGGTTGTCGGCCAACCACCCCATTAACATGGAATAGAGATGCAATTTGATAAGTAGGCCCACTCAAAAGTCTGTACATGTGGTAGCATCAAAAACAACGAAGGGAGGCGAAGTTGCTTGGAGCATCTTGGACACATTTGAGAATCGGTATACTCGGCAGCAGCAGGAATAAACGAGTGTAATAGAGCCACTAAGACAATCCTTAGGTGGGCCAGGGCCATAAAGCGGGGCGTCCCGCTGTAAAAGAGCAATTCAAGGGCCAAAACCACCATGGTTCTTTTTATTAAACATACATTTCTCCAAGATCAACGATCTTGTGGTCTTCTTTCTTTTGATGGGAGCCTTCTTTCCTTACCCAACGTTGTATCGATCTCAATCTATCTTTTTCTGGGCAGGACTCGTTCTGCCCGCAGTTAATTGTTTCGTCTGAGAAGGTATTCTCAGGCCCTACATGTTCTTCCTATTGATAGAGGCAATATGGTGTGAATCGTCTACATCATTCAGACCCAGTTTATCAACATATTGAAAATTCGTTCCCAAGGCAATTCATTTAATGAACAAAATACCATGGTGACTTATATGAAATTAGCTATTATATTTTAGAGAGTTATTCAAATGTGGCACCATATTCAAGATTTTTTGTTATTATCAACTTCTACAAGTGGGTTGTTCGGAAATTCATTGTTAACAGTGGTAGCAGCAACAACAATAAAAAATGTTAAAAAGATGCATCTAGAGAAAAATAGTATATAGTTGATGACCATTACGCACCAGGTGTAATTTATTTACTATCAACCACAGGGGAAAATTCTCTCGAAACTTATAACTGGAGAAAAACAATTCAAAAGAAATAGACTGCTTTTTCATGTTCTATGAATGATGGCTTTCAGGACTGCCTCTTTTTAAGTGATTTTAATCACATTTTTCATTAACATTCATTTATGTGCTATATTAAGTATAATATAAAACTCATAGATCAAACTGTGTCCTTTATTACAAACGTAGGACAAAATTCCCAATATTCTGCATTAGAAGGGTCTGGTCATTTTGTTCATTTGTATTTTGTACATTGGACAACCGAGATTCCTCATAGCGGGCGGATGCCCCAACTTGTCAGGCCTTGGTCAACCCACCCAGAGATGCCCGTAGCGACAACGTAACTCTTAATTAATTATGCTGCTACAGACATAACAATTATCACGTGTGTGTTCAATATGCTCATAACCACTTCATGACCCTTCCCTGTTTTTATGCTACCAATTTACCGATTGTCAGAAGGGCTCAGGGCATCCTTCCATGCATGATCGGGCGGGACGAGCGTCGCTAAACTACAAAATACATTAATAGTTTTAGTAATGGCAGCTCGTCCTTCGCCAATTTTGGCAAGCGGAAAAGGTGGGTGGAGTAGTCCACAAATGAATCTGTGGACTTTTGGCGTGTAATAGGAAATCATTTGGTTTTTATGTGACCTCATATTATAGATCCCTTGCTTGATTATTAGAATGGTCTTTTTATAATGTACTAACGGTCTTAAAGTGCCTCACTCCCTTACTATAGAAGTGCAAATTTTGAAATTGGGTGGATTTTGCCTGGCGGGGATCACTGGTTGCGGGACAAAGTCCAAGAATAATTTTGCCTCCCATTGAGCATGGCACGTGCCAACTTGCATCTAGACCCCTTGTTTCTGAGCTGATTCTCCGACAAACCTCTATTCTCTGAGTGCACATAGATCCCGATTTCTGGAAGGCGTACCATTTTGCTGAATCAAGCAGACAAAGGATGAAGGACAGTGTGAAGTTCAATAGACAGGGTTTTTACCGCCAACTTGCGGTGTGCACTGTTGAAGGCTTAGATCATGGCATTTGAGTTGCGCAATGGTCATGCGCAGGGAGAATCGCCTGCAGGTCCGTCGCAGGCGATTGTTGATGTAGATCAATTGTCTGAGGAAGTGGATAAATTGGAGAGAACGGCATATCAAGAGGTTCAGCCCGGGTCGACTGAACTGCCTAGCTTCTACAAGGTCATAAAGACCTTGATGTGGATTAAAGATAACCGCACTCCTCCGGTGTACAGAGAGGCTCTTGAAGAGTGGGAGAAGAGGTCGAAAGTGTTTGCCTCCAGTATTGAGCGGAAGACGAAGCAGATTGAATCTCTTAAGAACGAGATTTACAATCTGGTAGGGTTCTACAGCGTGTTCCAAGGTGTGGTGTTCACAGCTGTGGCTCAGGGGAATGAAAAATGGCTCACGTGCTACAAGGTTGCAATCCCTATTACGCTATCATTGCTCGCTTCTCTCGTCAGTTTCATTGGTATTTGGGAGAAGCTTAAAAAGATTCAGTTTCACGAGGGAAGAATTAACAGTGATCTCAGCTACAAACAGGTACTTTTTGATCTCTTCACGTTGTGCCCAGACAGCCCAACAACCCTGTTTTGTTGTTTTGAATAAGTCCACGTCAAGTAATATCTCGGTGTGCCGTGTTTTGTTTGGAAGTAGAGAATCCTGTTTAAGTCTGTTACATCCATATTACAGGCCATGAACGTGCCTCAAAGGACCTAACGTCAGGTCGAAGTCGGTCTCTCACAAAAGCTTCGTGGATATGTGTCCTCGTAGACCCTAGAGCGTTTCGAGAAAAAACTTCTAGATGATGCCAAGAACTTCAGATTTGCGAAGCTCAAAGCTGTAGGTACACAGCCTAAAGAAACTGCCTGGGGCACCTACTTCGGCGCTGTGGCTTTGCTTGTAGTCTCATTATTTCTCCCCAGTTCATTTTATTGGATGTTGTGCTTGCACTAAATCATCACGACCGGCTCGACACCGAAATCAAATAGCCATTTACACTCTCTGAACCTGAAGTACGATAGATACTGGTACGTTTACGATAAACTTTGCCAAATCGCTTGTATCCAGTGACCCTTTTCAAAGCTTTATTTGCTTCAGATCCTGTGTAGAGGATGAGTGCATCTGATGCATTGGTGATGTCTTAGGCTGAAAATCCGACGGATTGTGAACTTTCAATGTGTACGCACCACATTTTTATGCAGCAGTGCACTCAATATGTCGTTGGGTTAGCAAGTTTTCTTTCGTGTCTAGAAAGAAAACAATCCACTGCTTTTGACATTGCTTAGGTTACGTCTTGATCCGAGATTCGGACATGGATTTGAAGAATTACAAGGTTTTTACTTATACTTCACTTACATACTTACATTGTATAAGTAAAAACCTTAAAATTCTCTAATTCTTTCACTGTCATTTTATGATATTTTTCAGTTCTATATTTTAAAATAGCGGTTTTATAATGTACTAAATATTGGGCTACTGTGGGTTGACTTATATTTATAAAACACTGCTTCCAGTCTACTCACGTTTAAAATTAATAAACTGTATTGAAGTTCTGCATACGGTCTATTAAATAAGTTTACTAATGTAAGTAAATGAGTCGTTTAATCTATCGTTTCATTCTGAATAAGAACTTTATAATTCTCTATTCCACAATTGTCAATTTCATTATGAATCAGTATTTTAATTTAATTGATTCTTGAAACAAATAGTGATTTTTTTGATGCATTTACTATTCGGCTGCAATAGGTTAAATCATATTTAGAAAACACTGATATCAGTCAACTCACATTTGAAGTTAATAAACTATAATGGACTCTTGCGTACTATCTATGAAATAAATTCAGTAATGTAATTAAATAAATGATATATTTATTTCATTTAATACTAAATATATTACGGGCCTCAGAACAGTAATTGTAAAATATGCAATGCATCATTTTGAAAGATTTGTAACTACGTCCGCTCTCAGTTGCTACACTCCGAACAATAGATATAGTTGAAACCCGCTTCAAGTATGTATATAATCATTGATAGACATCAAACTCTTACCATCGTTGCAAAAATAAACTAGAAGAGCTGTGTACCTCGGAGCTCTATAATGCTCTAAACAATGTTTGTGGCCAGTTTCTTCTGACACAGTACTCAGATTCACAAAAGACTCAGAGCAAAGTTGCACCAAGAAATGGGACACACATCCTGCTATATGCGCTTGCTTGCTGTTAATTGTCCGCCTACATTGCAGAGGGATGGCAACTCTGCCGAAGTCGACCAATCCGACTTCCAGCACCAAAACTCGGAAATTGCTAACACTCAATTTCCACTACACGTGTGCATCACAACCATGCTTTCACACAGTCTCTCAGCAGATACAACGCACTGCATCACGACTCCACACTTGCTCAGTGGCGTCGACATTGGTCGAACTCCCTCCCATTGTCATGTTGTCATCGACAGAGGTCAGACCAGCAGAGAGAAAGAGAGTGTGCGGACAATCTTTATGGTCTTCTTACTTGTACTTCACACGGCTGTGGCAAGATACATTTTGGAAGCAGATGTCTCCAGGTTCCACGAAACAAACATAAACAAATGAAAAAATAAACGCATGCTTGCAATCGCACCACTACACCGAGACACGTCTTGCACAAAGGTGTCAGAAGTTCACACGACACGACAAATCACAATATCATCAATCCATACGCACAGCCGAGGCGACGTCCAATTTTCCCATCGACGAACTTCCCGGATATGTAATGCTGAATAGCCACTTCTGAGAATGGTAGCTGTTATAAACAATCAACAATCGTATCATACTGACTATGCAAATCTGGAATAAGGGTCTATTCTTCTTTAGGAACAACGGTAGATGGTCGTAACAACCCAAGTACTTCATGGTCTTGTGCCTGACACAAATCTCTACTTCACACCCGTACCTCCTGACGGCACTGGATCAGTGGTAACACTGATGGGTTCACCATTACCCACCGCGGTACCCTCTGCATGTGAAAAATCAATCAACTGATTAATGCATGGAAACAAAAATATAAATATAAATAAAGAATAAAAAAACGGCAGGGACATGAGTCAATATCGGACACGGAAGAGAAGTACTGCTCTAACATAGCCAACGCACTCAAACCTGTTCTCGGATCTGGGTGGCGATTTTGGCGAGAAATGAATTTTAGCACCCGTGCAAAAATATTTGATGAGGATGTTGTGTGCTTTGCGTCTCTTCGAACTCCTTCCCAATAAAGTTGTGGTTGGGCAGTGGAATCTTTCTCCGGTATTCTGCATTTAACTGTTACACTCATGTATTCAGCCATATCATCAGGTGTCACTTTTATTGTACCCGTCGGATTGTGAAGCACCAAGTACTCACTATAGGTATCAGATGTATCTCGCCTCATACAGTACTTTTCGTTCGGTTTAATCCTTGCTTTCGGCTGCTCTACATGAGGCCTTTCCTCCTTCAGTTCTAACTCAAATTCGGTTCCGTTGAACACATCCATCTTCAGTTCCATGTCTGAATCTCAGATCAACACGTAACCCAAGAAGTGTTAAAACCCGTGGATTGTTTTCTCTCTACACTCGAAGGGATACTTGCTTCCCACACGATAGAATAGGTGCACTACTGCATACATGTGTGGTGCGTACATATTGAAAAGTCACTCTCCGTCGGATTTCAGCCTAAAGCATCAGTATAGCATTAGATGCACTCATTTTCCACAGGATCTGAACCAAATAAAGCTTTGGAAAAGGCCACTGGATACGAGCTACCTGGCAAAGTTTATCGTAAACGTACCAGTATCTATCGAACTTCAGCTTCAGAGAATTTGCTCGACTCTTCGATGTGGATGTCGAGCCGGTCGTGATGAGTTAGTGTGAGCACAACATCCAATAAAATGAACAGGGGAGAAATAATGCGAATACAAACAAAGCCACAGCGCCAAAGTAGATGCCCGGGGAGTTCCGTTAGGCGGTACCCTTTTTCTTGCCTTTTGCAGCTCCGCAAATCCGATGTTCTCGGATTTCGATCGACGAAGACTTCCTCGACGCTCTAAATCCAACGAGGCCACATATCCACGAAGCTTTTGTGAGAGACCGACATCGACCTGACGTTAGATTCTTTGGGGAACGTTCAAGGCTTATAATATGGGTGTAACACGGACTTGTACAGGATTCTCTGATTCCAAACAAACCACGACACACTGAGATTTCATTTCAAATGGGCTTGTTCTAAACATCCGAAACAGGATCACAGGTTTGTGCGAACACATCGTCACGGGCTCTGAGTTCAGAAAATAACCTGTTTCTAGCCTTGATCTTCCTCAAGTTTAATCTCAAAATACTGAATCTTCTGATGCTTTCTCGAAACACCAATGAAACTGACGAAACGATCGAGCAACGATAGTACAATTGGGATGTAAAACTCTTGCGGCTCGTGAAGCGATCATTCTCCTGAGCCACAGCCGTGAACACCACACCTTGGAACACACTGTACAAGCCCACCAGATTGTAGATCTCGTTCTTCAAAGATTCAACCTGCTTCGCCTACCGCTCACTGCACTGAAGGTGAACACTTTCGACTTCTTCTCCCACACCTCCACAGCCTCTCCGTACACCAGAGGATTGCGGCAATCTTTTAATCCACTGCAAGGCGTTGGGCTGCTCGTAGCTGCGGGGCAGACCCACCGAAGTAGGATTCAAATTAGGTTTTTAATTCTCTGTCCAACTGCTCTACTTGTCTTTCCAACTGATCCACATGGACTACAATGGCTATAACCTAATCTTTGAACGGTGCAAACCATGAATTGAAGACAACAACAGTGTCCTCGAAAGTTTACACTGTGGTGCATCCTTCGTCAGCTTGAGTCAGCAAGATACTGTACCTCTCGGAAATGCGAATTATTTGTGCTCCGTGAACGCTAGCCAGTCACCCCGTTCACAGCGAATCTTCTGCAAGGCGGCAAATTGGCCCACTTCGAATTACATAAAATGGTAGAATAAAAAAAAACGATGATGAGTGACAATGTCGCTCGGAGCATCTCTGGGTGGGCATGGTCAATCAGGCCGCGGGTAAGGGCAGATTACATTCCATCAGCCCGGGCAGCTTCAGGGTCCTCTGCCCCGCTACCGCCCGTTCCATCGTCCCTTCCTGCCCCTTCACGCACTGTCAATGTACTTTCATCCGTTGTGCAAACACTAACCGAGCTAAGCGTGGGAGTCATTTCATGCTTCACTAATTCTCAGATTCGGGGTTTGAGCTTGTTCTTCAGATAGCTGGAGCATTTTTGAATCCAAGACACGCCGTTGCATCTTGGTTTGTTTGTATTTGTACTGGCATGAATATTCTATGAAGCACTTACAATAACTCTACTATGACCAATGTTAATTAGATTATAGATCTTAATTGGGCATATTGTGTGTCTATATATATATATATACATATATACATGTGTATATACTATAGGAATCTACTTGTAGTGCAAACTGGTGGAGTAAAATTAAAATTAATTAATTAATAATAATAATAATAATCATGCAAAAGTTAAAGTTGTACTGAAGTCAAAATCATGGTTTTTTTTTTTTTTTTTTTTTTTTTGGCTTTAAAAATTTAAAAATTTAGAATTGAGAGAAGTAGGACATAAGCATTAGAATATGTTTTTAGAAAAGAACTTAAACACTTTTATTTTAATTGTGTTATAGTAAAGTTTAATCTATTCTTTGTGTACTTATATTATCTTTAGTGTTTTGATTTATTCTTGTCAATAAAGAGAGTGAATTTAACATCTAAAACAACAAAATTTGCTATGATTGAAAGACATGCTACAAAAATTTTATAACAAAAAACTCACAAAAATATTGAAAATATCCCTTCATAAAAGTTAAATGTTAGAATTTTCTTATTTTTAAGGAGAAAAAATTGGCTTTTTTTTTTTTGTTAAAGGCAATCTTTGCTCAATTAGAATTTTGGTGTTAAAGCTAATGTGCAAAAAAAAGAAGTACTTGCTAATTTACTAACAAAAACATTAATGGAGGATCAACACCACATGGTGATAAAAGCTTTAAGATTGAAAGTCTTTGAATTCATTTTAGGATTTAAATGCCACAACACCTTCTTGTTGATTTTGAAAGCTTTTAGGACTTCTTTTGTTGATATTCTTTGATATATCTCTTCCTTAGATATGGATTTAAGTGAGAATGAGGACTTGAAGATGATTGAAAAGTTTAAAGGAGAAAATTTCTACTATTGGAAGAAAAAAATGGAGATTCTTTTGACATCTTTAGATCTTTGGGATATTGTAGATGAAAGTAAAGACTTTTCAAGCACCAATACTAGTATGAAGAAAAAAAAAGAAGTATAAACTTTGTAAAAAAGAAAACTTTTGGATTGATTGTAATTAATATTAATGATATCAATTTTTCACATATTTTTGCTTGCAATAAATCAACAAAAGTATAGAAGACTCTTTGCAAAATTTATAAGAGCAAAAGCCTTGCAAGCATTCAATAAACAAAGAAAAAAATTGAACAATAAGAATGGAAGAAGGTAATGATTTCATAGCTTATATCAATAAAATAAAAACTCTTGCAAATCAATTAACAATTATTGATAAATCAATAGATGAATATGACATTATCATGACCTTAATTTTAAGCCTTGTCAAATCCTACAACTACCTTATTATGGCATTGGAATCCATAAAAATAAAAAAACTTATATTATGATTTGTTATGACAAGCCTTACTCATAAAATAAAATAAAATAAAATAAAATATACATACATACATACATACATACATATATATACATACATACATATACATACATACATACATACATACATATATATACATACATACATATACATACATACACACATATATATACATACATACATACATATATATATATATATATATATATATATATATCAAAGTGAAGATTTGACTCTCTTTTAAGACAAGCCAAAAGTAGCTATTCTAACAAATGTTGTATTTTGTGAAATTTGCTTGAGAATGCACTAGGTACTTTGTTGTAGAAGATAAAGTAGAACTTAAAGCAAGAAGATCTTAATAATTCGAATAGAATCTTAAAAAAAAACTCCAATTAAATTATAAAAATTCTAATAAATCTTTAATTAAATGCCAAAAGAGCCTTAAAGTAATTATAAAAGAAACATAATGAAATCATAAATTAACCTTAAAGAAATATATATAATAAAAAAAATCCTAAAGAAATATATATATATATTTTTTAAATATTAAAAATAAAAATCTTCATTGAATATTAATCAAGTTTTAATTTAATCCTTAACAAATCCTAATAAAATCTTTAACCAATTCTAATCAAATTCTAACCAAATCTTAATAAAATCTTGAATAAATCATAATCAAGTTCTAAAACAAATCCTAATAAAATCTTAATAATATATTAATCAAAAATTAGATCAAATCTTAATAAAATTCTAATCAAATCTTAATCAAATTATTATCAAATCCTAGACCAAACTATGAACTAAAATAAACCTCTATTAATTAGAAGTCTATTCTAATTCATAATAATTTAATTATCTAATTAATCTAATACTTCTTGATTATCATTTGATTTATGTCCAATAATTCAAATAACTCTCTAATTGTGAGCTAAATAAATCCCTTTGATTAGGTAATTTATTCTAGGTCACAATTATTAATTAACTTATAAAACGATTTAACAAAAATTCTTCTTACTTTTCACTAAATAACCTAGATCTTTTAACTAATTTAATTCACACTTACATAACTCACTAAAATAATGCAAGCTACTTCAATTAACTATTAAGAATTTTAAATTTAAAAGATTTTTTTTATGTGATTTTATTTTAAAATATTTTAAAATTTTATTTTATATTCTATCTTCTATTAATAAAATTTATCTAAGAATTTTTTTCATTTACAAATGAAATTATTTTCATCTAAATATTTTGTCCAATCTTAACCTAATTATAACATAATCCTATATTAATTTCATTCTTTAAAAATTTTACAAAAAATATTTGGATGTAAGTTGCTAATGTGCCATTATTGTGAGCTTAAAAGATTTTTAAATCAATAAAATGTAGAAGGATTGAATAATTCATGTCAATACAATGTTAAAGTTTACATTAACAATTATAATAACACAAAAATCAAAATGTAATTTCTTCAAAAAATCAAAACTTCTCTTTGATCTTCACTCCAATTTAGAATTGCCAATGCAATAAATTCTTGTGCTTTGCTATATTTATTTTGCTCCACTCAATTACTACTGTATAACTCGCTACAAAGTATCTAGATACAAGCCATTAATACAAGAGTATGGAAAGAAGGTTTGGCAACTACATAATGTTGCTTCACTAAAGTGCCTACGACTTGAGACTTCAATGACTTGATCTTCCAACCATACAAATAGACAAGAAAGTTTGAAAAAAAAAACTAATGCTATAGATTTCTATAATTTTTTTAAAACCCCACATTGCTATTGTATTATATTTGTGCAGAATATTTAAAAACTAGATAAAAAGTGTGAAATATATTAATTCTTAGTTTTTATTTTTTTATTAAATAAAAAAATATTTTTAAAAATATTTATTTATTTAATTATTAAATTAGAATAAATATTAATAAAGATAAATTTGAAGTATATATATATATATATATATATATATATATATATATATATAAATGAGTGAATCTTATCAGCAAGAAGTACTATAATTATTAAAAATAAAAAAATTAAATTTGTACAAAGAAAAAATAGGATGTAGGATAATTTATTATTAAAATATCTATTTAATATAAAATTTAGTAGAAATATTTTTAGTATATCTATAAATAGATATGAAAAATTTCATAAAAAAATTATAGTTTGTAAAAAATGAACATTTAAAAAAAAAAAAAAACTAGGCAGTAAGCTTATAGAAAAAAGAAATGAGGCTTTGGACATCAAATAGTAGATTGGAGGTTTATAAAGTTGGATAGATAATAAGGTATTTAGATGGCACCAAGGAGGTCTCAAGTTTGAAACCCCATGGTGGCACATAGAAGAGAAGGAGAGGAAATATTCACCAAAAATCTTTAATTAATTTATTGAGAATATTTAGAAGGTTGGCCCTATAATGCTTGTATTAGGAAATTATATTGGATGACAAGGGCACTTGTTACCTATGGAAAAAAATAAGAAATTTCTTTTAATATTAGTATAATGTGTGATATCCATGCCTTTTATATATTTGTATTTTTGATAGATTGATATATAATTTTTTTCTAAAAAAGAAGAAGCCACAAGTTGATGGTGGCTTAAAGTGAAATGGCATTAATCTTCTAGAATCTTTAATCTAATTTTTTTTCTTTTAAAAAAAAAAATCCAAATTAAAAAAAAAAAATAGAATTTAAGATTTAAGAATAAGATTTAGGATTCAAGATTTAGGATTTCAAAATGGGATTTAAGATTTAGGATTTAGAATAGAATTTAGGATTTTGAAAGAACGGTAATTTTCTTAAAAAAAGAGATATAAGGAATCTCCAAGGAAGTTTTTGCTCTATCGTATTTTTGTTTTGTAAGTGTTTAATGAAAGGTGAAATTTTTTGATATTAAAGATAACTAAGTTTACAAAAGTTTCTTGTTCATGGAGTGTTTTGTATGTTCTTAAATTATAAGATAGTAGAGTAATTAGTAGCAATTAGAACCTCAGTGTTTTTTTAAGGCAAACTCTCTTTTTATGATATATTGGTGCTTTCATTGAGAGAATCTTGAAGTACTTATTATTCTTCTAGAAACAAAGAAAGATATTGATTTAGGTTTTAGAATGCCAAGAAGAGTTCATTCAAATTACTTTTTTTGAGTATTTGTGCAATTCAT